ACATTCATCTAAATAGCATCGTATAGCCAAGCGGTATTTCATAGTGCCTATTAAAAATATAATGTGTATCTTACCTCGCTATCCTGCTTTCGTATTCACACACCACAGCTGTAAAAGCTGTTGATGAGACCCTGAGGAAGCTCTTTTCACTAATTAAAACAGCTTGTGACAAGGATCTCACAAACACTAATGAATCAGTTCAGCCATATTGAACCAGCACTTTCAATTACGGTAGTATTCATGGCCTGGGGAGGGTAAGCGCCCAAGGAAGGGCCAGGGTTTAAGGAATGAATTAAACATGTGATGCAATCTCTACATGACATTAATTATTCAACCCCTGTGTTGTATTTACACTGCTAAATATTTCTCCAAATTTCACTGCTGTATTCTATTAGCATATTTCAAGGGTTAATTTTCCCAACCAGTAAACTGGCAAATGAAAATCTCCTAAAATGTTACCCTCAGTAAACTGTGTAGTGATACACAAAGCTTGTCTATCAAGCGCACTACTTAATTCACTACTTAATTCACATGTGTTATAAAATATTTTATGGAATCTTCAAATATGTTTCACTGGAACTGGCCAGTTGCATAAACTTAGCCACCATGTTAAGACTGTTTCTTAAGAACTAGTTTGACCAACTAGCAGTTGCCAAGGGGTAATCAGTCTTAATTTTCCAATACAAATAAGACCAATCAACCTTTTCATAACTGAATAAAAAAAGTTATGACCAGTCTTGAACAAAATAAATTATATGACTAACTTTTTAAGTCTAGTCTAAACAATTTATGCAACCGGCCTTCACACAAACGGTACTGTAGACTTATAATCTAGTGGTCCATTAAGCTGTGGATTAATACATTTATCTCTTCCTTTCCTCGCTCTAACTCCTTAAGCCCTTTATCTGTCTTCTCCCTTGCTCCTTCATCCACAAATATGTGGTTTGCTCTCAGTTTTCATTTTTATATCCACTGTGATGTCTTAACACCCCCTGATGTCTTTGGATGCTCCCAGTTTAGTGTCCAAACATAGGCTGTGTTTTCATCTGTTTATCTTGGGTGACCCAACTGCAAGGGGTCCAAAACTTTTGTGATTGGATCACATAAACTGGGTTAAAACAAGGGTTTAAAATGTTCGCAGCTGTGTGCAGCTTTAACACAATATACCTGTCCAAGAAAAAAAGAAAGAAATTAGTATGTTAATGCACAAGACTTTGCTGAACATCTTGATTGTAGGCTCTCTTTTTCCAGTTTGAAGCATTTTCTGACATGAATGATTTCAAATTCTATTAATGTAATACTTCAGCACCCACATCACCCACATCAGAGCAGGATAAATCATCTGTACATTAAGGAAAGTGTTAAGAGTTAAGAATGGAGGTTGTGCTAATGTTAACAATGACTGTTGATTCTCCTACTTTAAAGAACAGAGCCAAAGTGCTCTTATTGGATTAAACGGCTGATTCTTCAAATGAGCTTGACTGGTTCAATGCCCATTTTGAGAAATGTGATGAAGTAATGTTGCGACTGAGACCGAGAGACTCCGAGTCAATAGAGGCCAGTCTGCTGCAGTGGATCAGGTGTTTGTGGGAGGAGAGATGGAGTGTGGAGAGGAAAGAGAAAAAAAGATATTTGAGCTTTTAGTCTCTCACAGCCAGACATTTGATTTGTGGCATAAAGTCTGATCCAACAATTGAGATTATCCTGCCCAAAAACCACACATCTAGACTAATACTGCAAATGACCAATCATAGTGTCATTTATTGTAGGAGTGGGCTGATCTGAAATGGAAAACACTGAAAAGATGTGAGAAAAATTGACAGAAATGATTAGAATGTCTGTCCATCCAAAATCAATAATTACAGATTATTTCAGATATACCTCAAAAACAAAGCAGAATATACAATCCTGCTTATCTACCTGGAAATATACTTAACTTGCTATTAAGTGCTACAAAAAACGTTGATTATCTTTCAAAGATCTGATATAATTAACCTGACAAATCCAGAAAATAATTTCAACCTCAGAGGCACTCATCATCTCAGCCTGGAAACTTGGTTGTTTGACTAAAAACCTATGTGAATTGCAAGCAAGGCTTGACATTTTTGTGTGCAGTATGCATCAGACGGTCGGTAAATGAACTGTGGGCATAATGTCTGAGGTTGAGACTTTGATGTTAAAATATTCTAACCTTGTACATGCTGAACCATTAACATCACAGCTTTGTTCACACAGCATTAAACTGAACTTTTCTAGCAAACTCCTTAAGTCAGAAGGTCACTAAGTCATTGCTTATACATGGGCCTAAAAGGTCAAATAGCATTAAAAAAGGTTATAAATGTGTTAAGGCGCCTTATTTGTATTACAACATAAAAAAATGCATGATATGACCTCACACAGTTAAATCAAATGTATAGCCCAAAATAAAGGTTAATCTGCACATTCACACTCTAATACCTGAAATCTGGTATATTCCCTCACAATACCCCTGTATCTATCCTAATCTCAGTAGCAAGCAGTATTAAATGTTTTAATCCTGTTGTTTTTTCCTTTATCCTCCAAAAAGGCAGCTCAATATTCAGCAGCATCAAGCGAATTGAGTCAGTCACTGTCACTGTAGCTGACTGTGAGTAATTAGCTTCTCTTAAAACTCTGTTATCTCACCTGAAACTAAGACACTTTTATATAGAGTAAGTACTGAAGCCAAAAACGTTTTTTAAAGGAAAGGCCCAAAAGGATCGTCTGCGGTGTACCAATTAAAATTACTTTATATTCCATGTAGTGAAGGCAGCAAGCCTGCAGTCAGTACGGCTTGAGCTGTCTCTGAATGTTTAATTGAGCAGTACTCACACTCTTTGCCTCTCACTGCACCCAAAGAGCAGGAATCTGAACCGCCCTTCGGTCACATCTACAATCACAGTCAGATGTTCTCAAGAATTCCTGATAGAACAGCAATGAACAGACTAGACTGATTTGACAAGCTACAGAATGAGAGGGAAAAAAATAAAGCGACAGAGTGAAAAGTGAGAAAGGAGTAAGAGCCAGAACATGCTACAGAGAGTATCTGCCAGTTAAAATGATGGACCATTCCAATTAGACAGTTCCCATAATATATTGGATACAATATTAAAGTCATAATTTTTAAAGATGGAATCATATTAGTTTTCTATACAAGTTTAATTTAGCCTTCTAAATGCTTAGAAACAAGCAGCGTTACTCTATGTGTTGATGTCATATTAAATGAAACAGGAAGACAGGGCGGGACATATCAAGCAGTCCCGCCCCTTTTTAAAATAGCCAATAGCGTTCGTTTATATCACAGCTTGGGCTAGAGCCGTTGAGCTCCGTAAAGCCGCATTTGAAAGGGTATGCCAGCCACAATCTCATCCATATTGCTATAAAATATAGCATTCTGTGTAGAATTCAAATAGCTCCGATACATTTTGTGGTCTGCACCGACTCGCGCATGTGATCCGCTCCGTGCTATCGTGTCTCTGGACCGGAGAAGAGTGTGTGTGCGGTGCGGTGGTTAGCGTGACACAGCGTGAAACCAGACTTATTTTTTTCCTCAATGGAAAGCATATTTACACTGTTTGAATCGTTCCCTGTCCCCTATATAGTGCATTCACAGTACAGAAAATACTAATTCTGTGGACAAGTGACCGATTTCAGCCGCGGCTTCAGCGTGTCTTTTATAGTGTAGGGGGCGGGCGCTTCGGATTCTAGAGAGCATTTGATTGGACAGAAAGTTTGATGAGAAGCTGAAGTACGATGTGACGTCAAAAAAATCGTTGAGCCGTTTTGGCGGAAGTGACGAACTGCAAGCTTTGAATGCTTATATCTTCTAAATGCAAATGTTGTCACTGTTTTGGAGCACACTGCCTTATAGATAACCTTAAGACTAACATATTGATACTAACACCCAAAAAACTTTAATTGATTCATGGGGACTTTAATACCACTGTTAAGTAAACATAAGGGTACATTTTTTTTTTATTATTATTTAATCATTTTGGTTTGAGTATTTTGTCAATTTTGTCCCAGAGTCCTGTACTAACTTCTGATATAAAAAATAAGAAATACCCCAGAATATTTTACATTGGGAATACTGTACAGTTTATTCATCTTATTGATGTATTGGATTTTTGCGTTTAGCTCTGTATTTCCATCCTGCTACTGTTTCTCCCAATGTATAAATTATCAAGTTGATTGATAAAGGTAAATTTCTTGAGCATGAACAGAGGAAAGTCTGGTACAGCATATAAATATTAATTTATGTTTCTACTCAGGCATATTCATGCAAGTTAAAGAGTTCAAAAGGTGCTGCAAAACAAGCATAATCCAGATACCTTCTATTGACCTTTCACTCCTCTCGTACTGAGCTACCTTCAGGAAAACATCTGAAAATCAATTGCTCTGTTTCTTTTCTTTTTAACCCACCATTTTCCATCAATAAATCATTGTTATTTAATGTGTTTACTTCTGATAAATTACAGAAAAACACATCCAACCCAAGCTGGGAAAAGATGCAGGACACAATTTATCATATGTAGAATAAATGTCCACTGGGCCTCATGAAACATAATCAGAACTAATTTCTGTGTAAATCATTTGTAAAAACTACTAAATGCTATATAGAGTGCAAAACATTGCATTAAAATACTAGTGTGCAAACATCTATTGTTTCTCTTTTCTTTTTGTGTATACATTTATTCTTTTTTAAGGTTGTATTTGTGTCCTCCACATTTGCAGTCAGTATAATCATTTATAGGCTATTTATTTTCTTTCTCTCCATCTCTCTCACTCACAAACACAACAAGCTGCTGGGAGACAAGCCCTGAAAGATCCATGATTAATTTGGCCCATTAACTCAATGCCAGGGGAGAGAAGGAGAGGGAGAAAGAGAAAGAGAGCATTCCCTCAAATGCTAATTTGCTCATTTAGAAAGCAAGAAAGAAAGAATAAAAGGTCAAAAATACAGTCCCACATCCTCATCTTACCCTCCCCATCATCTGTCAGTCGTACTGTGAGCATCACACTGGTTGACCTTGCCTCGCTCACCATTTTTCTTTTCTTCTTTCCTCGCTCAGGGTCCCTTCTCCATCGAGACACCTTCTGTTATGCTATGAAGCCAGTTGCACCCTTGCAGACAGCTGCTCCCTCTGAAGTCATTCAACATTCGCAAACTTCCACCTGTCCCTCAAGCCACAGCTGTTTGACAACAGAGCCTAACGGAAAACTAGACCAAAAAAAGAGAGCATGAGAGGGATGAAGGGAGGAGTCTGACCCTGACTGAATGAGATTTAAAATGACTAATACCAGGACTCGAGCCAGGATGTCCGATTTGCTCTCCAGACCTACATTAGAGCTTAAAGCTGGAGGAGCACCCAAACATGTACAGTATTTTCCTTACCATGAGGCAGTAGGTCACATGCGCATGCACACACACACTTTGCATTTTCCTGCTCAGGGAAAAACAAACAGGAACACGGGAATCTCTCAGAAGACAGCTCTGAGGAGACATGCGGTGGCAGGGAATATCTCCCCAGAGACAGGAGCAGAGCGAGGCAAGAGGGATCTGGCCACAGCCATGCACACCAGATGATCCACACACACACACACACACACACACACATTCATCCGCTTGCTCACTGCTCTGTGGTGGTGTAAACAAAATTGTCATGTTGCTAAGCAACAGCCTGTTTTGGTAGAGCAGTTTGTGCACTATACTAGAGTACAAGTGTGAAAACAAACACTGGGACAAGCGCATAGGCTATGTTCATTTGGGATTGAGCTTTATTTGCTATCAGTGGTGACCCTAGCAGGTCATATAATGTCTGAACAGGTAACCAAATCAGTCTGTTTCTTCAATCCACAAGTAATTCCTGTATTTAACCAAAGTGACCCCTGTTGAAAAAAACAGCATATGCTGGGAAGGTATGTTTTGATGCTGGTTTAAGCTGGTCCTTTGCTGGTTTATGCTGGTCCAGCAAAGGACCAGCATAAACCAGCAAAGGACCAGTTTAAACCAGCAAAGGTCCAGCATAAACCAGTAAAGGACCAGTTTAAACCAGCAAAGGACCAGCATAAACCAGCAAAGGACCAGTGTAAACCAGTAAAGGACCAGTTTAAACCAGCAAAGGACCAGCATAAACCAGCAAAGGACCAGTGTAAACCAGCAAAGGACCAGTTTAAACCAGCAAAGGTCCAGCATAAACCAGCAAAGGACCAGTTTTAAACCAGCATCTCAGCGTCAAAACATACCTAACAAGCATATGTTGTTTTTTTCAACAGGGACAGACAATCACTGCATCCCTAATTACTGCAACTGCGTTAGAGTGTGCATAGATCCGCACTTCAAATATCCACCGGAAATAGTAGACCATCCGAGTACAATGCACATTTCAACATACTATGATTTTGAACAAACTAATTCTACTCTTGAATACTGTTTAGGATGGATAGTAGGCCTATGTGAATAGTAATATTCTTCATATTAAACATGGACTTAACGTTAGCTAGCATGCTAAAGTTAGCATTCCTCAAGCGCTTTCATGATCAAAACTTTTAGGATTAAAACTGAAAGCGTGTGTAGTTAAAAAAAATCATTCATATACAACTATGTGGATAATTAGCTGTATATATACATCATTTGAGACACAGCTCGAGTTTTAGCACAACAGCTCAAGTGTTGCATTGTTTGCTTTAAAATTCTGTCATCATCTACCACTCTCAATATGCTTAAAACTTTTGTCTGTGGAACACAAAAGAAGTTATTATCTGTCAAGTTCTGTTGCAATTTTGCAGTCAGTTCAGAATCTGGCCCCCTGATACATGCTTATATAAAGAGCTACTCTCTACATGAGCCACCATGAGCAAAGATGCAGATTTCATATGCTTCTGAGAATCCTGCATCTAACTAAGTGCTTTAGAGATGAATGAGAACACTAACAGATAGCTTTCTCCAGGTATTACATTGATCTTGATAGCGACATCTAAAGTGTAACACTGCACTTCCACTCAGAGCCTGAGGGTGGCAGTGTTCACACATCATCCATAGACCTACATTAGTACAGTTTGGGCAATATGTATCCATACTGAGGAATGTTAAAGTCACTTACTCAACCCTATCACCGGTTACACATATTTTGGCCATACACAATAAACCCATTGTTAATAAAAACATAATCTGAAATGAAAAGGCCACACACACACAAAAAAAAAACCTGCAGACACATGGATACTGCACTAGTTTAGTAATCCTCAAGCTCTGTCAGAATCAAAAAAGGTAAAAATAAGAATATTTGGTTTATTAACCACAGATAAAGTCTCTAACAAACGCTCTCTTAGAGCTGAATATTTCCCTGCTCCACTGTCTTCATAGAGTCCCTGTGAAGATTCAAATGAAGCTGCTAAATGAACCCACATGCATAATGAGCAGCATGAATAATAGAAAAGATGAAGCAAAAACGCTGATCATACCATAGCACCGATGCACAAATGTAGCAGAACATTTGCCAAACTCTGACATTCTGAGTAATAATACATGTACATGTCCACAAACGGCCTCGTTCACGAAACACGAGCAGAACGAATTTGTGTAAAATGCTCGTAAAACACTCAATTCAATGCAACAATTTGCGCATGAATGGTTGCATGAACAGTTGACGCAGGAATTAATTCTGCTTGAGTTAATGACGCCTCAAATGCATAACCAAAGTGCACATCACACTTTTGTTCACAAAATGTTGTGCAAAACAATTGAGCAGGAGACTGACTAGATCAAGCATCTTGATTGGTTTAGCCATGACCTTTAACCCCTGCTGATTGGCGCTCCTGCTATGGACACGGAGGTCGATGCTTGTCATCAATCACGAGCGAGTAGCTTGTAGCACATTATAATGGCTGGGAGCGAGTGCCTTTTCCCGCAATGGAAAAAACGTAGAAAGCAGTCATCATAAACACATATCACACACACACATACACATACACACACACACACACCTCCCACAGCCCCACATGACATTGACAAGCCTTTTATATGCTGGCAAAGGAGAACATGTGGGAAAATGGTGGCTCGCACAATGTGCACATGGTGTTTACACGCTCACATACAACAACTTACACACATCCAGAGACGCATTTAATATAACCACTACAACCACTATCCTGGAGTACCACAAATCCAAGTACATACACTAATAAATGCCCATGACCTTGGAGCAATTAGATGGCGATATGACATCAGCACAGTCCAATGGCATTTTTGGGGTCTAAAGTCCCCACTGTGATCTCATCCTCACACACACGCCGCCCCTCACGTTACACATGGTATATTTAGAGCTGAACCAACTGCACTTCAAATCAGTCCTCTAACTCAGCCTGACCTGCTGGATAAATCACACCACGTTCATTCTCTTGCACTCACTCACCCCTCTTTCCCCATGCACCCGTTTACTCCTCTACCTTCATGTTTAAAGGAAGGAAAAAAAGGCAGTAGAGTTTCAAGCAAAACACAAACAAGCACACCAAACACTGAAGTAAACAGTAAAGAACGCTTCCTACCGGCAATCCCGTCCAGCGCTAGAGGAAAGGTTGAACGGAAGAGAAAAGGTAGGGAGACTGAGAAAAACGTGCCTGCCTGTGTACGCCTCCGCTCTGCTCCACCAAATCAATTTCACACTCTCTCACCTCCCAGTCACCACGATGTCATTCATTCATCAGTTTGGCGTTGCCATGGAAACCTTGGCTGGCGTGGTCTTGGTTTGGTCATTCCGTGACACTGTTTGTTTCTTGCTTGTGAGCATATCCTTGATCGTATCCGACACTCCCTCTCTGTAAGGCGCAGTGTTGTCCCCCCCCCCCCCCCCCCCCCTCTCCCATCCAGCGCGTTCTGTGTGTGTGGGGGGGGGGGTGGGGGGGGTTAATATTTATATTGGGTAATATTTTGGGGAGATATTTCTTTATTAAAGTTTTCAGATGTTGTTAATTTTAGTATCAACTTCTACGCCTACGTCATCCGTTGAAACGCCACTCTTCTTACACAACCACATCAATTCACTTCAGAAGGCCTTTATTAACCCCCCGGAGCCGTGTGGGGAACTTTTATAACGGTTGCGGGGTTTTTCCCCCCCCCCCCCCCCCAATTATCTGTCAGCATGTCGGTTGTGGATGTTGGGGTGTGTGTAGGGGGTATCCTCATTCAAAAGCTGGACTCTTTAAGGGGCAAACCCCCCAAGGCACTCAAAGACGGAGTGTTTTATCCAACCACTAATCGAGACCCCCTACACTCCTCATGCAGGGTCGAGACTCATCATCTCTTACTTCAAAAACATATATATACACACACACAAATAGACTGCTCATTCTGACCCCACATTATTGATTAATCCAGTCTTTTCAGTCCCACACAAATAGACCACGAAGCCCCCCTGCAGCCATGTCTGGTTGCTCAGGTTAAGCTCCTACATTCTCCACCAAGTCTCCTGTAATGAATAGTTAATAGGACTGCCCCCCTTCATTATGGTGCATTCTCGGATAGTCTCGAGTCTGACCTTGGGGGATCTACCCCTTCATATTAATCATAGTCTGTAAAAAAGATAAGAGACTCACCAGGAACCGCCTCCCACCCACTTATTACTGTCTGGACCAGAATAGTCGCTATAGCTCTCAACTGGAAAATCATCTCTCTGATTAATTCTTAGCAGAAGAGTAAATTACATGTTCTTGCGGAATAAAGGATATTGATTCTGTAACCAAGGCCACATTCCCTCACTGGTCCTACATTAGGGTAATATAATGTGAATAGCATTGACCTTGTTCAAAAAACTAACTGGATGTCAATGTTGTGAACAGTGAAGGCTTATTCGCATTCATGGCAGCAGCCAGTAAATGCATAGCATTTGGATTACGTATGAAATGTCTTAAGCTCAATGTGTAACTTTGTGATTTCCACACATGATTTTTCCTCACTCGTTTAGATGTCATTTAGATTATACAGCAACGAGAAATGTTTAAAAAACAGTCATGACAACTGTATGAATAGATCTT